TATGATGCTGCTTGGCCTGCTGTGTTCATCCAGCCCTGCACCTTGTTGTCTCGGATTCTCCAGCATCTGCAGTTCCTACTATCTCGGAGCTCCCTTAGATGCTGGTTTTATTGAGACTGCTATTTGCAGTGCTTTCTTTAAGTCTGTGTTTCTTTCTGTCAGTAATCTCTGGTCTCCCTCCTATAGGAAAGATGTTGTTAAACTTGAAAGGGTGCAGAAAAGATTTACAAGGATGTTGCTGGGCTTGGAGGGTTTGAGCTAAAGGGAGAGGCTAAATAGGCTGGGGTTAAATGCCCTGGAGCGTTGGAGGCTGAGGGATGTTCTTATAAAATCTTGATAGGGTGAATAGCCAAGGTCTTTATTCCAGGATAGGGGAGTCCAAAATTAGTGGGCATAGATTTAAAGTGAGAGGGGAAAGATATAAAAGAAACCCAAGGGGCAACTTTCTCATGCACAGGGTGGTGCGTATATGGAATGAGCTACCACAGGAAATGGTGAAGACTGGTACGATGCTAACATTTCAACATCCAACACATTCTGGATGAGTGCATGAATATGAAGGGTTTAGAGGGATATGGGCCAAATGCTGGAAAATGGAACTAGATTAATTTAGGGTATCTGGTTGGTATGGACAAGTTCGACCGAAGGATCTGTTTCTTGCTGTACATCTTTATGACTCTTCTGGATTGCTTCACAGCTTAAACCACACATTAAGCTGTCTTTGATCGCATTGATGTGGAGGTACCGGTGTTGGGTAGAAACCACACAACACCAGGTTATAGTCCAACAGGTTTATTTGAAAACACAAGCTTAGGGAGCCTCAATCCTTCTTCAGGTGTTAGTGAGAGAGGTAGTATCTTAGGTTTGCTCAGTACATCCTCATCAATGGTGTGAACCTTTGATCTTTTACTTCCTGAGAGAGGTAGTATCAGACACAGAAATCAAAAGGTTCACACCATTGATGAGGATGTCCTGAGCAAACCTTTGATCATTTTACTTATAAATTCTGTCTGATACTAGTTCTCTCACTAACAACTTGTTTTCAAATGAACCTGTTGGACTATAACATGGTGTCGTGTGATTTCTGACTTTGATAGCATAATTTTACTTGTCTCCAAGTTCACAGAATTCTGCTAACTTCTTTAAAATTGCTATGAACTGGAGATAGATAGATTCATCAACATGCTGGTTGCATTTGTGGAATCTGAACCTTTTAGCAATCACCAAAGGTTTTAGTGAAAAATTGTTTTGTAGGATTCCTATTATTTCTTGTAAGTTTTTGCGCCTTGCTTCTCTAGTTGATTCAGACTTCTCAGGAGGTTGAAAGTTTCTCCCCCATAATGTAGATGACAATATCTGCTTCAATTTTGTTAGCTTAAACAAAATAATACAATCTCTCTGTGTAGGGTTTCCAGCTCTCTGTATTTTCATCATATGATCCTATGCCACCAAAATTTCCTAAGGTTTTTGTGAATGGAAGAGCCTGCGTAGCAGTGTACCACAAGCATTACCTCACATTTAAAACAAGGTATCTAGGCCCGAAACGTCAGCCTCTCTGCTCCTACGATGCTGCTTGGCCTGCTGTGTTCATCCAGCCCTGCACCTTGTTATCCCTGTGGCTGGCTGTTTCTTTCTGAGTTTACATCCCAGCTCAAAACTTTTCCCTCCATGTAAGGTACTTATCACTTGTTGGGATATTCCTTGGGCATCACAATGGCTCAGTGGT